GGTCCAAGTTCTTGAGGCGGAGAGAAAGGAACCTGAGTGATTGTACAGCCGTCTATGGCGCTGCCATATGGCCTCGGTCACATGGTTCGTGACGTAAGGGAAAGAGAATCTTGGGGTCATGGGGCTTCCCCTGACCTAGATTCTATCTCTCCGTCATCGGCAGAATCGCTGATTAATGCCTACAGTTCAAAATAGTCATTTTGACTGACAGGAGTCTATGGTGGGCATGAACTATGTGAATAGGCGGGTTTGGAGAACCCTCTGCCTAAATTCATTATAGATCATGTCATAGATGTACAAATATATTTGTTTGACTATCTGATTCAAAATGGCCAAGTGGCAACCATTTTTGTGCTAACAAATTATCAAAAATAAAGCATTTCTGCATTGTGGAACAGGATCTTGGTCGTTCATGAATGAATTTTATTTTTCAAATCTGATTCAAAATGGCTGACTGGTGGCAATTTTTTTTTTTAATGAATGTGGCTTTAGAGCCATATCTCTGACATGATTTGACTTAAAATTTTATATATTCATTCTACATCATGTTATATTCAAAATGGCTATTTTGTTTTAATTAATGCTGTCCCACAGCAATATCTCTTAATATGGACAAGTACTCCTTTGACGATCAGATACAAGATGACTGAATCTCAATCATTTCAGTGTTAACAAATCACCATAATATAACTAGCCGAGCTTGATGTCGATTTAGGATTCTGCTTACAAATAATTTAGCCAATCATAGTACGTTAATTTTAGCCAATACAACAACCTCATTAATAGTTATTTACCTATCAGCTCGTCTCCCTATTACCCAATGATGTACAAGGCCAAAGTCACTTTCCGCCAAAATGCAAGGAATGTAAACTTGTGTATATAAGTGGGTGCTTTGACACACCACAGGAGGAGTTTCAATAAAGTCATCTGTTATAGTGTACACCAGTTAGTCTCTTGTTATCCACCCCTGAACCTTATCTTAACAATTACACACACATTCAAATAATGTGACCATTCAAATAATGTGACTGTCATACTGTAACAGTCCAAATATTGTGACCATTCAAATACTGTGCCTGCTCAAATACTGTGACCATTCAGATACTGTGACCATTAAGATACTGTGACCATTAAGATACTGTGACGTGACCATTAAGATACTGTGATCATTCAAATAATGAGAGTATTCAAATAATGTGACCATTCAAACACTGTGACTGTTCAAATACTGTGACCATTCAAATAATGTGCCTGCTCAAATACTGTGACCATTCAGATACTGTGATCATTCAAATAATATGACCATTCAAACACTGTGACCGTTGTATTGTACTGTGTATTGTAGCAGTTCAAATATTGTGACCGTTCAAATACTGTAACCATTCAAATACTGTAACCATTCAAATACTGTGACCATTCAGATAGTTTGACCATTCAAATATTGTGATCCGTTCAAATACTGTGACCATTCAAATACTATGACAGTTCAAATATTGTGACAATTCAAACACTGTGACTGTTGAAATACTGTGACCGTTGTATTGTAACAGTCCAAATATTGTGACCGTCGTATTGTAACCATTCAAATATTGTGACCATTCAATTACTGTAACCATTCAAATACTTGTGACCATTCA